CTCATTCGATTCGTTTAGGTTGTTCACAAAAGTATATTTTTCACCGCTGAGAAGCTTTGTTTACAAATCGAACAAACTAAATATTTAGTGTGCTTATACATTTGTCGTCGGAGGATGAGAGCTTAGAAAACTGGCCTGGAGCAGAAAACGTTTAAGAGAGTTTAAGTGTAGTCTTTCGAATATATTTTAACATACAAAATATTTAAGAAAGTTTGTGATCCAGATCTATTTAAAATACATATATTAAAACTATAAACAGCTCTATGATTTTTTTCTCAGAGATCGTGCCAACTGGGTATTGGGATTTTCGGCTAATTTTTTGTGGACAAATTTTCCCCACTTTTTGTTAAATATGTTATGTATGTTGTGTGACAAGATATCAAACAAAATAGTATGCGTATAGCATATGGGAATCTTATACATATACATATATGTATATGCTTTTATTGTATATATTTTTATAATTCCCCACCCGTTGAGCCGATCCAAAGCCCCGGTCAAAGAAAACATAAACACTTTTTACGAACCAATCCAAAGGTACAGAAATGGTTCGAACTGCTGAACCGAACCGATCAAATTTTTCAACCGGCTCAGGTCCTTGACTGAAACTCATCGAAAATAACAATTTAATCACAGAAATTTGGATATTAGATTACGCGTTAAAAACGAACGAAAAAATGACACCGAATATAGCAAAACATCGAAACGTTTTATCTCCAAACTAAAGTTAACAAGAAGAAGTGAAGTAAATTGGTCCCAAAACAGGCAGAGAGTACGATTACGCTATCGAAAGCGCCAACAGCTAAACTAGAAGTCTGTCTATGCTTTTTAAATATTAATAAAACAAAATTCCGCATTCCACCTATTACTTAACTGCACTGAAGCATTATTTTTATGACCAAATATCACTTTTAAGGCCAAAGTTGAAGCTGACCGAACTTTGGCCAAATATACCAAAGACTTTTTTCAATCCGATTTCCTGGTCTGATTTAGTTTATACATTACCTATAAACAAGAAAAATAAATAAAATAACTCCACAAAAATTTTGCCGATGGGTGGAGCAGGAGTTGAGATATTTGGATACCCCGTGTTTATTGTCCGATTTTTTTTATATTTATAAAGCTTATTTTAAACATATTTTTTTTACTATTAACTTGTTCAGAATAAAATTTGTGTTTAAAGGGCATGTAAATTTTAATACCTACTTGAGAAAACGGCTCTTAAGATGCTGTAGGTAAGTAAGTTTCACAGTTTTGTGTCCAACAACCCCGGAAATTCGCAAAATGGACGTCCTCTCACGGTTTGTATTTAATTCTTATTCATTGAAACTTCCCCAATGATTTCGGAGTCACTCTAACACCGAAAATCAATTGGAATATGAACACAAAACACCGAGTAAAAAAGCCCATGTCCCTTGGTTTCCTGCAAGAAAATTCTGGGTAAGAACTGGGGCAGGATACAAAGCTCAGCCTGCATTTCGATAGCTGAGGCGATCAGATCATGTCTGATTGTCATGATTGATCTCTTTAGTAAGGAAAGTGCTTCACATAGTGCCTGAAGATTGAGGGAACTTAGACTATGGAAAGAACGTACGTACGGGCGTGGAGGTATCCTGTACTCTTTCAACGACCCAAACATTCGCGAAAAATCTGACTACATCCTTCGCTCTTCTTTAGAATAAAAAAAATTCGGCACGATGTTTCCACCAAGAAAGGAGTGGAATAAGCCTTTTTTTTTACTGAACACTTCGAAGTATGTACCTCCGTCTCAAAAATGGATTGGGCGGAAATTTTTTCAACTGATCTCCAAATCGAAGAGTCTATTCGACTACCGAATTCGGCAGTATTTTTCAGGCAGAGGTGTTTGCCATCAAAGAGGCATGCAAAATAATTTAAGCTACGAAGCTAGCAGGAACCAGCGTTGTTATTTTCTCGGATAGTCAGGCAGCGAACAAGACACTTGGCTCTGTAAGCATCACCTTCAGCATAACAAAACAATGTAGAGAGAACGTTGTGGCTTTAGCTGATAGACATGGCGCTGCACTGATCTGAGTGCCGGTTCACAGCAGAATTCATGGCAATGGGAAGGCCGACGGAATAGCCAAGGAACGTGTCGGCTCTGGACGCACATAAGTGCTAGTTGGAGTTGTTGATCTCGACACTTCAACCAACCAACCAATCCCCAATCACCAGATGGAGTTTCCCTGATCTCTTACCCTGCCTACTATTTTTCGCTATGAGCGTCACACAATTTGTAATGGATCAATAACCTGTGCTCTAAGGCGAAAAGTTACTCTACTGTAAGAAGCTTTACCCCTTCCTACAAAAATCAACGGCTATCCTATTTACGACATGGGTAAAGGAGGTCGAAATACCAAAATGTATTCACGCCGATGGAACACTAATTTCGATGATAAGAACCCAGATAACTCATCGCCTTAACGGTGACCGCCCCTGCGAGAGAAATGTTTTAGTATCGTTGGGCTTGTCATAGGCATAGGTGTCCGCTCCCCTCTTCAATACATTTGTTATTATTTTTTTTTCGAAGTTCATCCAGCCACCGGAGTCTCGGTTGTTGTTGTCCTAACAGCATACAGTTTCCCCTAAGAGTTTTTGGGGAGTGTTACTGGAGTGCAGTCCTTGGCCAGATATAAATCTGGGTCGTTCCGGTTACGTAAACCCGACTGATTTGAGGCAATCAACTTGCTGACCTGTATTCGAAAGTAAGAGTTACAGCCCGACCTACTCACCTCGCCATTTTAAAATCAACGGCTGCCTCACTCACCACATGAAAACAGGGCAAAATACTTCTCGATAAGACACGCCGATTGGACACCACCTGTATCGCCAGCTAATAATACGAAAATTCTGACGTCACCTTTGATAGCTTTCTGTCTTTTTCAGGACATACAATCAGAGTCGCGCGATGGCACAACTTGGAGCGATAGTGTTTGAAACTTACAACACAATTGGCCTGCTGGTTCTAAACTATGCAATGTATGAAGTTTTACCGATCTGCAAAAAAAAAAAACCTTGCACTCTGACCATCCACGGAATGTCTTCTGATGTCGCCTGAACAATGCTCTCCGTCAGGGAACATAATAACGGAGGTTTCAATTAACGTGGGTAGAGATTTTTGAGGCCATCACCGTCTACGGCGAGTGCTACAGAACAGTGATAACTGATTTATTTTACCCCAAATTGAATGATATGGACGTAGATGAGATTGTGGTTCCAGCAGGTTCGCGCTACGAACCACAACGCACATACTGCATGAAGGTTTTTCTGAGGGTATGGCTATCTCTAGCGGTGAAGCGAATTGGTCACCAAGACCCGATAGACTTTTTCTTTTGGGTTAATCGACCGATGTCCTTAAAGCCTTCGTAACATAAATCACTCAAATTACGCCGGATCTGTGCGACAGAATTATTGAAAATAGAAGTCGCGGTTCCGTGGCGGACATTTAAAGGTTTTTTTAGGTATTAGACCTTTACCTCGCACACATTTGCTTTATTCCATTTCAATATCAAATATTGGAAAACCCTTTGTACAGACACTTGCTGGAAGCAGAGCCACCTTAACACCCTAGCAGTCCTCTCTACGCAACTAACGAACGACATTGGATCGCTTGGATTTTGCTTCGTTTCTATTGAAGTTGTGTTGCTATAGATCCATTGCCGCATAAGACTTGAACTAACGCACCACAATAGCCCAACTTCGCTCTGGCTATTTTAGCAGGCTAAACTCATACCTGAGCAGAATTAATGAGGATGTGCCCAACCATTGCCCGGCATGTGGAAAGTCGCCACATGACTCTCGGCACCTCTTCATATGCCCTGAGAACCCCACCCAGCTGATGCCCCTGTCCTTATGGACAGACCCTTTAGCTGAAACAGACGACAACGTTGACGCGTTCCCACGACAGTCGGGTCTACATAACCGGAACGACCCAGATTTATATCTGGCCAAGGACTGACACTCCAGCAACACTCCCCAAAAACCTTTTTGGGAACTTATATGCTGCTACAACAACAACAACAACAACGTTGACGGATGAACCGACCCGAGCGGGGCTTAGTAGCCGCTACAACAACAACAACAACTGGAACTAACAAATTAAATGATATCAACGAAATATAACTACATACAAATGTATATAAATAAAAAGTCAATTTGTTTTGTTTTTCTTTTCCGCGTGAGTTTTGAGATAAATCCAAAAAATCATATTTATTCAAAACTACTGCTTTTATAATAATATTTTTTTTTGCATTTTTGTTTTTTAAATAAAAAAATTATAATTGAAAAAATATATAATGTATGTAAAAATACAAAATATTCATTTAGCATTAATTGTGGATGTATGTTGTATATGTAATTGTATGCATTCTCTTGTAAATAAATGTATAAAATAAAAGAAAAACAGTTACGCCTCCTCAAAAAAAAAAAATAAATAATAATAACATCGAATGTAAAAAAATAATCATATGTACAGATTTAGAGGTACATACATATGCAACATCCTCATATCTATGTATGTATATAATTTATGTATGTATGATTTTGTGTAATGAAGATGCTTATACATATATGTATAATGTTGATGAAATTAAATTAAAACATATATATTTAGGTATTTGTATAAAATATATGTTTTTTTAATACATGTATAAGTATGCGTAAATGTAGAGGGGAAATATGAAAATGCAATATACAGAAAACTAAAAAAACAACCGCGCACAATTATTTAATGCTAAAAAAATATTGTAAATTTACAATGAATATGCGCATGAAATTTTATATATTCTAAAATGTAATAATTATATGATTTTTTTGTTTAATAATAAATATGCGCAAAATCAGCGTGCATAAAAAAGCAATTGAAGTGCCTATTTTCGCTAGAAATGAAATTATATTTAGAAAAAGTTATTTATTTTGAACACATTGCTACTGCAAAACAGACCAATCCCAAGTTGGGTATTAATTTCTATATTTTTTTTTTATTTTTTTGTAGCCACTGTCTTGCCGTTAAATTTTCACTTTCGATTTTTATCTTGCTCACTCTGCTGCTACATAAATTATACTTTTTAAAATTTTCTCTGGTCGTCTTTGTCCATGGTGAAATTAGATATGCCATGGTCTTTGCCCCTGCGCTTGTAAATAAATTAATTATTTTTCAAATTTAAGTTGTAAATAATAAAAATTGCTTAATAAACATTTTCTTTAGGGTTTTTATATATAGTTAATAGTGTACATATGTACATTTAAATCAACCAGATGAATATGCTAAATGTTTCTTTACATAAAAAAAAATCAGTCCAATTTACTAATTGAAGGTCAATATGAAAATGTATTGTATGTACCTATATATGTAAATACACACATTAGAATTATACATACGCATTAAAACAGAACTAAACAAAGATTTTTATCTGTGTTAATATTTCAATAAATAAACAAACGAACGTAATTAATAAATTTAACGCAAAGCATATTTAATCAAATAGAAGCAAACTATTATTACGAGAAACGGTGGTAAGTGCAAAAATTGCTTGTTTGTTTGTTGTTATTCCTGCCTTTCTTACTCTATCTTACTCTGCAGTTAGCGCAACAATTCGCAGTGCTGCTGCAACCATTGGACTTCATTGCTTTACAGTGGCGGCGGTGGCGGCGGCGCCGGATGATGATAATGACGCAAGTGTTGATGATGATTGTGGTGATAACCAAAGTGTGACGCGTGTTGATGTTGGTGCGCATGATGTATGTGGTGTTGCAGTTGTTGTGGCTGCGCTTGCGACTGTGACTGCTCCTCTGCAGCGCCCATTTCTACCTGAAATTGGTGCTGGTGCTGAGCGTGCTGCAGCTGCAGCTGTTGCTGCTGTTGATGTTGCTGTTGCTGCTGTAGTGTATGTTGATGTGTATGCATTGCCGCTGTTGCATTGTGAATGTGTTGATGATGCCGATACTGATGATGTGTATTAGCTTGACCGTTCACGCCATCTGTTGACAAACCTCGGCCAACAGCATCGTGATTCGTTTGCGATGTTGCTACTGCAGCCGCAGCTGCCGCTGCTGCCGCTGTGGCAGCTACCGCTCCAACACCACTGCCATTCGAACGCATACAATTTAGTGAGAAATTGCTGAATTCTACCACAATCGGCGCTGCCGATATGACATTTACATTTTGTGTTGCATTAACAGTGCTGACGCTTGGTATTGCTGCGCCGCTGCTACCGGCGGCGTATGTTGTTGCCGGTGCGGCGGTGGCTATCGCAAGCATAGCTGTTGGAAAGAGATGTGGCTGTGTTGCCGTTGAAGCGCTGCCGGCGTTCTGCTGCGTGTGCTGACTGGGCAGAGCATGAGCCAAACGCTGTTGTTGCGCATTCGCCTGCGCTGTGTTCGTTGCGTGAGCTGCTTGTCTGTTGCGCACTGCATGCTGTGTGGTTGTTGTTGTTGTTCCTGCTGCTGTATGACAGTGCTGATGTTGATAATGTGCTGATGGCTGCGCTACCGCGTGTGACTGTTGTTCGTCTAGTTGCTGTTGTTGTTGCTGCTGATGCTGCTGCTGTTGGTAGTAAGCCGATTGCAGCTGATAGTGCTGCTCGTACTGCTGTTGTAATTGCAACTGCATCTGCTGGTGGTGAAATGCATCCGACAGCGGCGCCACTGTACTGGCGGCAGCATAGTGCTGATGGTGTGCTTGCTGCTGCTGCTGTGTCGATTGCTGATGGTGCTGATAATGTGTTGTGAGTGGTGGCGGGGGCGGTGGAGGTGGTGGAGGCTGCGCGTGACGTTTTGTTGCAGCAGCACTAGATGTTGTTGGCGCTGCGGTATCGCCTGTGCTGTTATAGTAAGCGAAATCATTAGTGCTTGTTGGTTCTGCGCTGCTTGGCGGTGTGCTGCCAACGGATTTTGCTGTTATGGGCAAAGAAATTGCCATACTGTTCGCCTTCATATGTCTGCCACAGCCGCTATTATGTTGTGAGTTGCTGTTGTTGCCATTGCTGCTGCCATTAGTGGTATTATGGTTGCAGTGGTCTTGATTATTGCTGCTGTTACGATCACTGCAATTGTTGTTGCTGCCAGAAACTTCACTATTAGCCGTAGCAGACGCAGAAATACATTCATATTTTTGCGCATTCACAGCTGACAAAGAGCCAGCTGAAGATGACTCCGAAGTGGGCTTTGCTGTTGCTGTATCGATCGTAGCACCCATGGTGTTAGCTGTTGTTGTTACCGATGATGTTGCCGAAGTCGTTGAATTATTTGTGGAAAAGTAAGTGTCAATTTTGGGAGCTGATGATGAATGCGACAAACTAAAAGAATCAAGTCTTTGTCATTTGGAATTGCTTTGTAGAGCTGCGTTGATTTGTGTCCACAGCTCTTTTTTGCAGGACTTCGATCTGAAATGCGTAGGGTAAATAGATGCAATTTTTTGTTATAACCACGCATACACAAGCGTTTACTCACCTTTTGATAGACTGTAGCCAATCTTTGAACTGAGCACTGCCTTCGGGTGTAATTTGGAAAGCGGCGCGTGCAGCCAAGATGATGCTAGCAAAATCCTCGTAATCGGCCTGCGTGAGATGGTATAACTTCTGGTGTATACACTGAATATACCTGTATTTGGAGAGAGAGAGCGGGCGTAATTAAACAAATACATGCAATAATGTGAAATCAACAAAGTGCTACTTACATCTGTTGACATTTTTGCACCAAAGGGGTCAGCGCCGAGCGCAAGTGCTGCATTACCAATTGATGATTGTTGCGCCCCAGATAGTGGGCCGATTCGATAGCCACATCGTGCAGCACGAATGGACTAACTATCGAATTGACTGCGCATACGCAAAATTGGTGCAGATATTGCGTGCCGAGTTTCTTGGAGATACGCAGTAGCCATTTCACATCCTCACCGTAGGGTGGATTGCGGGCATACTTTGCCTGTGGACGATCATCGTGTACGCGACGTGCTAACGTCTCCATGGCCAACATACCCACATTGTAGGCGGCGAGCAGATAACGTAATTGGGTTGAGCTGCAGGATTAAATGCAAAATTTTAAATGTGAACCCCTCAGCCAACAGTGGGCTCTGAAATGCATTAAGCCAAAGCATCAATTGCTAAACTATAATTGATGGAAATGTTCAATATGCGCAGCCACGGTTAAATGCCGAATTTGGAACTTAGTTGCGTAAATAAGGCATTTCCATCAATTATAGTTTAGAAATTAAACATACTGATGCTTTGACTTGATGCATTTATGAACACACCAATCGATATTAAAAAAAAGAGCATGCACTGCGACCTAACGGCTTTAATATGACCTCTACTCTTCCCAACCCGTAGTACTTCGATTGCACGAGATCTGGATTCTTCTTGTCACTGGTCGATAAGACCTTTCATTTGCCAAAGCTTGCGAAATTTAAGTGAGTATGCTTGGCTGCCTGTTCTATGGAGGGTTTAGCTAGAGAATTATCTCCAATGATGTCGTCGGACATGTGCGCATTTCTCCCGAAATACACACACTAGACCAGGGCCGGCGAACCTTTATACATACACGTGCCATAATTTCTGAAAAACAAATTTAGTGTAGCCAAAACCAAGTCGTGACTTATCACTGTTCTTGGGGACATTAGTTGGCACTAACGAATTAAGCGTCTCTTAAATGCCTCTGTGAACCTTGCGTGTGAACGCCAGCTTCTGCAGATAGCTAATGTGTCTAGAATTGAATTCCATGTTTTCAAAATTTTATTATTAGCATTTATGCTCATATTGGCCGATGGTCTTTCTAATTCGATTGCTTCAAGCTATTTTCTTGTTACGACTAAGTATTTGGTCCATATTGAATTACACTGGAACTCGATCAGCTGCATTTCAAAATATTTGATATCCAACCAATCAAATTTAAACAAGTTCAGTTTATCAAGTTAAGTCACGTCAGGATACATAATAGTTGCGTTCCAGATGCTTCAAGTTTAAGGTTTTTTTACAGGAAACCGTTCCAGGTGACCACCTTCCATAAGGTTTATTAATGGAGAAAACAGTTTTTCCTGCAAATCCTGTAAAACCTACAAATCGTGAAGCATCTGCAACGCAACTAATATTTTTGAATGTTTCCGATAATTCCTTGAATTCAGAAAACGTCGAAAGAAAACTCTTTAGTGACTCTTGATCCGTCTAGTTTTTTATCTAAATCCAAATCTGATTTTAAATTTGTTAAGTTTAGCAAGCATTTGTAATTTTTGGAAACAGTGAGGCATATTCTTAGTCAAAATAAGGACGACACTAAAGTTGGTTGTAGCCTTTGACATAATTATCAATAGTTGTGTTCGAAAGCAAAATTAGCCAACACCAGCCAACAATCAAAATCAAGAGCGTAAGCGAAATTTCTCTCCCATAGAGAAGAAGACGTAGAAGAAAAGTAAACGAGCAGGAAATTAGCCATCACTTGAAAAAACCGGGGAAGAAGACACACCAGCTGACTTTGTTTATGTTTTATTTGTAAACAAACTAAAATTTATGTTGCCTCCATGGAAGGAAAAGGGAAAGCGAACTTTCAATGTTCGTCAGGAATGTTTCTTGAAGTAAAAACTAGTTGGCACTATCATAAAGTCACATAGCAGGCAGCTAAAAAGCATATAAATACCAAAACTCGAAAACTCAATTTTTGTCTATTTACTAAAATTTCAACCATATGTTTTGTGATCATATGTTTTCGTGATGGACAATAGTTGCGTTCGGCAAGTCAAAAATTTGTAATAGTTTTTCCAAATTTTTACTGGATGGCGTTCGATAACGACAAAAAAGTATCCAACACACAAAAATTGAGAGAGCAAGCGTTCATTTTGATGCAAGAGAAGCGTTCATTTTGTACTGGCAAAATTTTAGTCAGCAAAAATTACACAGGTTTACAAAAAAAAAGTGTATGCATATTAAACCAAACCTATATATCTCTATGTTATTCGACATGCTTAATGCTTATCCGAGGTCCGTTAGCCTCCATCACGTCAGGTTCGTTGTCATTTGAAGGGAAAAATAGGGAAGTAGGGAAAAATTCATTGAATGAACCTGAAAATTCAATAAAATTCATCGGAATTTCGCCTTGGGATGACCTTGGCATGATCTACAGATGAACTTGAGGAATCAAGGGACCTCCATACTCGGTTTCAGTGACAACAAAAACAATTTTTTTTTTAATTTTTATTGAATAAATTTCATGTCCTATTTGACCTTCAAATGTCCTCGAAGCTGACATTATGGAGGTAACGGACCTCGGATTCGGGTTCAGCGAATGTAAAACCTTATGTATATGAATTTTCCGGTTTATTCAATGAATTTTTCCCTACTTGACCTTCAACTGACCACGAACCTGGCGTGGTGGAGATAAACGGACTTCGGATTCGCATTCAGCGTGTCGAATAACATAGGGATATATAGGTTTGATTTAATATGCATACGTTTTTTTTTTTGTAAACCTGTGTTATCCATCACGAAAACATATGGTTGCAATTTTTGTAAACAAACAAAATGGCATTTTTCGAGTTTTGGTATTTATATGCTTTTTAGCTGCCTGCTATATGACTTTATGATAGTGCTAACTAGTTTTTACTTCTAGAAATATTCCTGGCGAACATTGAAAGTTCACTTTCCCTTTTCCTTCCATGGAGGCAACATGAATTTCAGTTTGTTTACAAATAAAACATAAACAAAGTCAGCTGGTGTGTCTTCTTCTTCCGGTTTTTGCAAGTGATGGCTAATTTCCTGTTCGTTTACTTTTTTGTTTTTTTTCTTTGGGAGAGAATTTTCGCTTACGCTCTTGATTGTGATTGTTGGCTGGTGTTGGCTAATTTTGTTATCGAACGCAACTAATTTTTGCAGGCTAAAATTTTGCCAGTACAAAATGAGCGCTTCCCTTGCATCAAAATGAACGCTTGCTCTCTCAATTTTCGTGTGTTGGGTAATTTTTTGTCGTTATAGAACGCCACTCAGTAAAAATTTGGAAAAACTATTACACATTTTTGTGTGGTCGAACGCAACTAATGTATTATCTGCCAAAAAAGTATACGCCTGAAACCTTCGTTTATTTATTGTCTGCGAAGATATGAGAACTACGCCTTGCGCACAAAGCTTATAGATGAATGATGAATAATCGAATGTCTTGTGTGGATTTTGTTGGTTACTGTCTGGATTTTTGGCACTTCTGACCTGTTTTTTTTTTGGTGTGAGTAGGGGTGTATTCCTAAACGTCAAAATACAAAGCAAGTCTCTTTTATTTCTAAATTTCTGTAGAATGTAATGCCAAATGTGCGCAACCACGGTTAGAAGCTAGTTTTCAACTAGGTTGGGCAAGTTAAACTTTTTTTTGTTGTTGTTGTTATTGTTGCGGCTACAACAACCCCGCCCAGATCGGTTAATATCTCAGTCGCTGTCGTCAAGCTCCACTAACGGAAGCCCCAGGTAGCGTGCAGTCTCAATGGGGTCGGTCCACAGGGACAAAGACGTTAGTGTTGTAAGGTTTTCCGGGCATACGAAGAGATGTTTCGGGTCGTGGGGTGTCTCTCCGCATGCCGGACACTCATTTGGCACATTTGCGTCTAATATGCTCAGGTTTGAGTTTAACCTGCTGCAGTAGCGAGAGCGAAGTTGGGCTATTGTAGTTCTGGTCTCCCGAGGCAGATGAAGCTCGATATCCGGTGGTTGTGTGCCTAGAACGGCATTCACAAGTCGGGAGTCTATATAACTCGAGACTTGACTCCCTGTGAATGCCATTCAGGGCCTGCAGATATGGTGATGCTGCTTAATGAACCTCTGGACTTCGTCCGTCAGTTCGTAGAGATGCCTCCTGACGTGCCCGGGCGAGGGCTCTTCTGCAAGCAGTTGTCTATTTGGGTGGCCACGTCGGTGGCTCCCAACCAGAAACTGCTTGCAGAGCATTGTGTTATGCTCCTTAACATGGAGCATTTTCGCCTCAGAAGGCAAACAGGCTGTCGAATGTTACTCCGAGTATTTTGGGGTTATTCACCGTCGAAATTGTTGTATCGTCGACGTGAATTCCCAGCGGTAGCCTGACATCCTTCGTCCAGGAGGTGAACAAGGTCGCAGAGGATTTTATGGGGGAGAGGGTTAGGCTCCTTGCAGTGAAGAAGCGAGAAAGCCCGGAGAGATACCCGTTTACTTTCGAACACAAGTCATCAATTCCATTCCCAGACGCCATGATCGAGCAATCGTCGGCGTAAAAGAC